GATAATAACAATTGCAACAACATCAGTAGCAACTACAACATCAAATGAACGACAACAACATCAGTAACAACATCAATATAACAACAGCGACAATTACAACAACAACAGCGATAACAACAACAACAACAACAACAATAATAACAGCAATAATAATAATAACAACAACAACAGTTGCAGCAACAACAATAATAACAACAACAACAACATAAGCAATAACAACAGTAATAACAGCAACAACAACAACAACAACAACAGCAATAACAACAGCAATAATAACAGCAACAACAACAACAGCAACAACAACAACAACAACAACAGCAACAACAACAACCAACTACAACAATAACAACAACCACAACAACAACCACGACCCCCTGTCAGCCATGACCGCCCGTGTTGTCCACCACCCCCTCCCCCCTCCTCCTTTTCTCCAGGTGACTCAGATACAGAGCGCGGCCACAAACCCCCCCACCCCCGGACCTCCCCCCCACCCCACAAATACCCGGCCCTCCCACAGATCGCCCCCGACACCGCCCACTTGCATCCTTCTGACGATAACGCGCGAAACGACCCGTACGGCCAAAGGCCATCAACACAAGCACCGCATGACCCCTACCACAGACAACACGATCACAAACACGACCCGTACAATAACAACACACAACAACAACAGCAACAGCAACAACATCCGTACGCCGACCCTTACGGTAGCAACATCAACACAGACACGTATAGAAAAAGTCACGCGGACGGCGACCCCCACCAATACTCGCGGAAAAACATCGCGTACAGCGACGAGGACCTAGCCAATGAGGCATTCGGCAGGCCTCCCCCGCTACAGGACTACTTGTCCGACAAGACAGGCGCTCCTCGCGACGGACAGCCAGACACGCAGACTGCTACCCAATCATACCACGCCTCCGACCCTATGCCCCGCCCCCTGGGCGAGCGAAGCCCCTCCCCCAGAAGTAAAGCCAGCCCTACTCGGTCAGCAGAAAAGGGCAGAGAGCGTCGTCATGACGACGACAGCGGAGTGGCGGGACTGACGCCGGAGGAGGAGTACAACAGGAGGAATAGGGAGGAATACGATAGCGTGATGAGGTGAGTATGGGGAGGGGAGGAGGGAGGGAGGGAAGGGGAGGATGAGTACAACCGGAGAAATAGGGAGGAATACGATTACGTGATGAGGTGAGTGTATTGTATAAAGGGGGAGGGGGAGGGGAGGGAGCGAGAGAAGGAGGGAGGGAGTGGAGAGGAAAAGGAGTACAACAGGA